AAAATCATGAGTGATGTGGAGAAAGTGGATAAGGAAAAGTTATTTACTTATTCCCATAATACAAGAACTAGGGGTCACCAAATGAAATTAATAGGCAGCAAGTTTAAAACAAATAAAAGGAAGTTCTTCTTCACGCAGCACACAGTCAACTTGTGGAACTCCTTACCTGAGGAGGTTGTGAAGGCTAGGACTATAACAGCGTTTAAAAGAGAACTGGATAAATTCATGGTGGTTAAGTCCATTAATGGCTATTAGCCAGGATGGGTAAGGAATGGTGTCCCTCGCCCCTGTTTGTCAGAGGGTGGAGATGGATGGCAGGAGAGAGATCACTTGATCATTGCCTGTTGGTCCACTCCCTCTGGGGCACCTGGCATTGGCCACTGTTGGAAGACAGGATACTGGGCTAGATGGACCTTTGGTCTGACCCGGTACGGCCGTTCTTATGTTCTTATGTCACAGCCCCAGCTGCACAGCCTGGCTCTTTAGCTCACACTGTAGAGCCGCATGCAGTTAGCTGTGGAGAGCCCTGGGTCAGGCATCTGCTGTGTTATCCCAGATGGAGGCAGGCACAGAGCCAGGCCCCTTCTGCAGGGGGGACAGCGGTGTGGGTACCACTTGGGTTACTTTGGAAGTGGCCCTGATCTGCTGCAGACTCACCCTGCACTGGTATCGGGGGGTACCTGCACCAGTGGCTGATCAGAGAACCAACGAGGGGAGGAAATGGGGATGGATACCCAGCACTGTCTGGAGGTGGAAATTCCTAGTGCCAGGCCTGGGCAGGCGGCAGAACAGCCTGGGTGAGGTGAAATCTTCTCCTGTCCCTGGGGAGCTGCTCTGCCTGGGAGCAGAGTGGATCAGATCAGACAATGGATGGGGCATGCACTGCCAGCCCCTCACGCAGCCTGGGGAGGTGTTAACCATCCCTGCTCTCTCCTTACAGATCCCTGCCCGGGGTCTGGCCATGGCAACGCGGTGGCGGCTGTGTGTGTGCAGCCTGGGGATCCTCCTCCTGGTGCCGTGTTCTCTCTCTGGTAAAAACGTTTGAATCCCAATTATTTCCCTCCTTGTCCCCCATGTACGCTGCCCCCTGCAGGGCTGGAGTACGGGCATCTGAGGCCCAATTACACCCCCACCCTTTGGGACCGCCTCAGTCCTGCAGAGTAAAAGGGTCCAGGAGGCTGTGGGTTGGGGATGATGTTGGGGTGACCAGGGTGTGTCCTAGCTCTGGGTGTCAGGATTGTCGGATCTTGCAGCAAATCACCCAGCTCCTGTTACCCCTGAGAGAGGTTCCTAGAGCCCCCCAACACTGATCCCTTCCTGTCCTGCCATGGCACCCGAAGGCACCATGCTGCTAGACCTGCCCCACTGGGAACCTGGATTCTCATGGTCTGCAAGGCTGAGATCTTCCCAGCTGCCTGAGGGATGGGGGTGCCCAGTTCCCATTAGGATGAATGGGAGCTGCAGCATCGCTTACTCCAAGCCTTCAGCCACCATGAGTCAGGAACCAATAATCAGGAAATTGGCTAAAAAATCATCAGATTAAAAAAAACCACCTTTTGGGTATCTTCTTGTTTCCTTTGCTTTTTGAGCCTTCCATCACCCTTGGGTCCCATTTTCATGCTTTTCTCTGCAATCACTAGAGCTAGAAACTGATTTTTGTTTTAAATGAAAGCTGAGATTCTCACAGAATCACATGCCTCCAGGAGCTGGGGCTTTATGAAAAACACATAGTAGCTCAAGGGTTGGCACCCTCTGCTCTTTCTGATCATTCAATCTGCTCCTGGGATTGTCTATTGCAGAGAAATTCTCCCTGGCTGGCTCCCCGCGTCCCGTGGTGGGGGTAGTTGGCCGGGATGTGGTGTTACCCTGCCAGCTCACACCCCCAGCCCGGCTTTTCGGCATGGAAGTGCTGTGGAGGAAAATTGAACCAGGATTTGTTCTGATTCATGAGTACTCAGATGAGGGTACCCAGGGCCTTCCAGGGGAGGGTTACCAGACGCGGACGGAGCTGTTCCCGCAGGAGTTCAGCAGCGGGAACGTCTCTCTGAAGCTGAAACGGCTCCAAGTGGCAGATGCTGGGACATACCAGTGCCTTGTGAGGAACTCAGAATGGACCCAGGAAGCCACCACTGAGTTACAGGTCGCAGGTGAGACACGGAACTAAGGGGCAGCCAGAGCCTCCTCTGCCACTGGGGGTGCCCCTGCACTGAGCCCAGCACTGCAGTAAGGGTCCTGTGCTGTAGGGAGTGGTGTGCAGGACTCAGTAGGGGGCCCTGTCCCCTGACACTCAGCACTGACCCCACTGTGGTGCTAGCAGGCTCAGTGCTGCATTAAACGACCTCTTTTAAATGAGACATAAAGCTACGGCTCTCAGCTCTCATGCTCATGGTGATGCTGTTTGAGGGAGTGGGACCTTTACCCCCATGTTCTGCCCAAATCCCAGCTCAGGTGATGATGAAATTTGACTTCCCTGAAACTCCCCCTGCAGTTTCCCAGGGTTGGGATATTGTTTTTTATTCCCTGGGTACTGACACAGCATTCAGTGCTGCACAAGGGCAGTGGAAGGGACGGTCTCTGCCCATTGAGCTCACTGAGTAACCTAGCCCCAGACAATACAGTTCAGAAACATCAAGCCCCTGGTGAGAGGCCTCCTGTGATAATACAGAGCATTGAGGTTGTTTTAAATCATCTCCCATCTTCAGTGGCTCCTAGTCCAAAGGCTCCACAGGAGACATGTGCTTTTAGGGAGAGATTTAAAAGAGGGGAGAGTGGTTGTGTGCAGCACAGGAAGAGGGAAATCCAAGCACGAGGGTGGCTTGGCCTGGGGCACTGTTACCAGTGCGGGAGAAGGACACCAGAGGGGACAGTTATTAGAAGAGTGGCATAGGAGGAGTCGTAGCAGTGATGTAGGCAGGGTCACTATTCCTCACCTTCTGCTCTGTACCAAAGTGCAGTGATCCTGACAGCTGCTCGGCTGCACCCCAGATGTAGCTGCATTTCAGCAGCGGGAGCAGTGATCTCTGTGTAGCTGTATAAGCCTGCACCTTCCTCTGTGAGCCTGCAAGGCACAGTGCTCTATGGAAATGGAAGATGATATTATTTAATTTCTCCAGTCGTCACAATGAGGGATCCCAGGGAGGCTTTGCATGTATGGGAATGGAGCTTTCCAGCCACAGCCCCCTATATCCAGCGGTATCTGAGGACTCACATGGTGCTACCAAAGACACGATTTCCTGATACACACTCTCTCTGTCTCCTCACAGCTGTGGCTCCAGTGTTGATTGATGTGCTGGGCCCCCGGGGCCAAGGCATCGGGCTGATCTGTAGAACCGCAGGCTGGTTCCCCAAACCCGAACTCCAGTGGGTTGGCAAGAATGGGCAGAACCTGGGGATGGAGATTGTGACCGACATGACTCAGGAAAGGGAGAACCTGTATAGTGTTGTGAGTCACGTCACTGTCACAGAAGGAGAAGACAATGGAGACATCAGCTGCATAGTGCGGAATGGCCTGCTGGTGACCGAGCGACAATCGGCCATTCATCTCTCAGGTGAGTCCCCCCGTGCAGAAGGGGTGGTTGTTAGTGCTGTGGAGAATTGTTAAAGTTGCTAAGTTGTTACTGCTGCTAGTGTTGCTGTTCTGGGAGCTGCGATGTCAGCTGCACCAGCAGACGGTGCAGCGTGTTAATTCAGCCGACCCTGACGTTATTCATAAGAAAGATCACAGGCTCAGTTCAGTGGCGATGGCACTCAGCCAGGTTTATTGTGGACAAAGCCTAGAGCCCTGTAGAAGCCACAGTCACACTAATGTGTGTATGCCTACAACAAGGTACCTGCTCAGCCTGTGCACCAGGATGCTGTCCCCTCAGCTGGACAAAGATGCCTCACTTATCACTTCTCCTTTTAGACACTGATACCAACAAGTTACGTATTACAGTCCAGATATTGTTAGTTATCACCCTTATCCTTGTACCTGCCAGCTGGAACAAAATATCCTCATCCATTAACCTGTCATCCCATCCTTATGCTACAAGGGGTCAGTGTGTTCCTGTACCATCTCTTAGGAATGCGTTTACATAATTACTTGAGAGATCCATGTGTTTTTGTACTATCCTATTGAGTCAGGAATGTGCTTTCTTGGTGCTAGCTAATAGCTGGTGTATTGTTATTTTTCCAAGGCCAGGCCGATTCTGGTTCACAGTCTTTGGTTCACACTTTTAGTTATACCTAGGGCTCCAACAAGACCTACAGGGGTCACCACGGGAGTGCGGGGCCTGCAGTTGCACTCAGCTAGCACCTCTTTCTGGGACTGAGACAGGAATGTCCTTCTAACCTGATTTGTGGGGCCATTAGTGATGGAGGTTTCTGTGATCTGGACAATCTGCCTGTCAGGAGCTGGGGCTGAGTCTTGTGAAATGAACTTGATATTGTTCTTTGAGGAGATGTTGTGTTTGGTTGATAAAAGTAACTGGGATGACATAATAGACTCAGGGTGTGTCTACACTAAAAACACTACAGCTGCAGCTCTATGGTTTAAACACTTACTACAGCGACAGAAGGGGTTCTTCCATGGCTGTAGTAAATCCACATCTCCAAGAGGTAGTGGCTAGGTTGACAGAAGAATTCTTCCATCAACCTACTGGTGGCTACACTGGGGGTTAGGTTGGCTTAAATACATTGCACAGGGCGTGAAATTTTTCACAATTCTGAGCGATGTAATTAAGCCGACATAACTTTGTAGTGTAGACCAGGTCTCAGACTCCGTAAGGGGTTTGAATTAGTTCTGCATGAAACTGAGAAAAAATATTAGCACTGTACACACTCAATGTAGTCCATGCTATATGGATTAAAAAATGGCTAACTAATAGATCTCAAAGTCATTGAAATGAGGAATCAGCCTCAAATGGAGATATTTGTAGTGCTGTCCCAGGGGGAATCTGTTCTGGGTCAATGCTATTCAATAGCTTTGTCGATGAGCTAGAAGGAAATGTAAAATCATGGCTGGTAAAATTTGCAGATGACCCCAAAATTGGTGGAATGGTAAAAAATAATGGGGACAGGTCAGTAGTGCAGACTGACCTGGATCGCTTGGTAAGGTGGGTTCACTCTAATAACATACTGTCAGTGATCCACACCCGTGCTGTGGCTCCAGCGAAAATTCCCATTTTGTCACACATGCATTTCAACATGGCCAAATGCAAGGTCACACATTTATAAACAATGAGTGTAGCTCACACTTACAGGATAGGAGACTGTAACCTGGAAATCTGAAAAGGACTTGGATGTGAGCTCCCAGAGTGAAGACGGTGAATGCAATCCTTGTACATATAAATGACAATATCTATCAGGAGAAAGGAGGTAACATTACCTCTGTGTGTGGTGTTAGTGTAATGCCGACAGACCCTGGTCGTCGGCAGGCAGGATCGAACCTGGGGCTTCTGGAGCTTAGTGCATGAGCCTCTACCACATGAGCTAAAAGCCGACTGGCTGATAGTTAAAGCTGTAGCACAGACTCATTTTATCTCTCTCTCTCTCAGTGGTCTCGGTGCCACTAGATGGGACAGAGCACCACACCCAGATGGCATGTGGGTTACATAAGCAAGACCACTATGGATACTGTGTCCCGTTCTAGTGCCCAAACTGTCAGCTGGGGTAATGACAAATTGGAAAGTGCTCAGGAAATAGCTACAAGAAAGATTAGACATCTGGAAACCTGCCTCACAGTGAGAAACATAGGAGCTCAAGTTATAGAGCTTATCCAAGGGAAGGCTAAAAGGTGACTTGATCATAGTCTGTAAGTACCTACATGGGGAGGAGATTTCTGACAGCATATCTTTAACCTAGCAGACAAAGGCAGAACAAGTTCTGATGGCTGGAAGTTGAAGCTAGACAAATTCAGACTAAAAATAAGGTGCAAAATTTTAACATTGAGGGGAATTAACCTAGGGAGCTGGTGGATTCTCCATCACTTGGAATCTTTCAACCAAACTGGATGACTCTTTCGATAAGATCCGCTGTGACTGGACTGGATGCAGAGATCACAGGGGGAGGGTCTCTGGCCTGGGTTATACAGGAAGTCAGACTAGATGATCATAATGACCCCTTCTGACCTTAACATCTATGAATCCATAACATACTGAGGCCAACTTGAAAACAATTGTTCTCTGCTGAACTTATCTGGACTGGACGTGGTGACTGAGAACTGGGAGCTGTGTGACAGTGACCATCCAAACAGCCAGCTGGTGCAGGCAGGGCTGGGCAAGGGGTCTCTGGCTGTTAGCTTGTAACAGCGGGAGGGATTTGGGCAGAGCAGAGTCCTGGCTCTTGGAACTGATGCTGCGCTGGCTTCTCCGGTTTCAAAGGTTCCCATTAGTGGCTGTGATTTGAGCCTGGAGGGGACGTGCCCTTCAGTCCTGGGAATTTCTGAGGATCTCTGATCCAGAACTCAGCTGTCAAGCCACGTGGCAAACCCTGTTCTCCAGCTCCAGAATGGGACCATGCTGCTCACACACTGCGCTCTCTGTTTGCCAGGTGACGTCTTCCCCCGTGTTTCTCCCTGGTGGGCTGCATTCTGGGTGATTTTCTCTCTGTTTCTCATTGCTGCTGGAGCTTGTGCATATCTTGGATACACAGGTAATGGGAATGTGTTACTTGCATGTTTAGAGCCTGGTCCTAGAGGGCACTGGACTGGGGCATGGGAGTGTCTTATTGTTCAGATATTGACCTTGTTTTGGTTTTAGGAAATAAACCAAACTAACAAACACACTGAGGTCCCCGGCCCCACGTGTATCAGCAAATTGCTCAGTGTTTCCCCTTCCTTCTCTGCCTCACTGCAATGTCTGATTCTCTGTCTCACAGCGAAACGAAAGGCCTCTCAGAAGAAACGCTCTAAAGAGGAGGCTAAATTATTTTATGGTAGGTCTCCTGCTGTATCTCTTATTGTGTCTATTGAGATGAGTGAGCTTTGTGACTGCTTGGTATTACCTGTGGGCTCAGTGCAATGAAGGGGATGGAGTCAGGAGGTTTTTGCCTAGTGGTTACTCATCTCCCCCATGTTCTCACACACACTGATGGTAACAGGTTGGTAAATGTGTATTTTGCAGCAGATACCCAAGTGTCCATGCTTGTGAGATTCCCTGTGTGTGTGTGCGGCATGATGACGGTTTGCAATGACAATTCTGGGTCAGATTCTGTCCCACTCAGCCTGGACAGTTGCTCAGTAATTCTATTCTCCATAAAGGAAACGACATGGGAAGGTCAATGACGCTCTGTGAGATGATTCCATCCTTGTGACTGTCGAATGCACAGGACACAGGGAGGGTGTTTAACCCCTGGAACAAGCTCCCCAGGGCAGTGGTGAATTCTTCATCTCCTGATCGCATCACATCCAGACTGGGCACCTTTCTGGAAGGTTCTGTAGCTAAACCTGAGTTATTGGCTCAGTGTGGGGGGAACTGGGTGGGATTCTCTGGCCTGTGATACACAGCAGGTCAGAGGAGATGAACTAATTGATCTGCTTGGCCTGAAACTCTATGAATCGAGCAATGGACACAGCAGCACCACATGTCTAATTTATTCCACTGTGATCTTTTCAGTATTTAAGAACAATATTGATTTTCATTGTGATGGTGCTTAGTGGTGCTGACCCGTTCTACTAGGCACTGAGCTCACAAGCAGGGAAATACGGATGACAGGTGGAGAGAATGGATACAACATGCCAGCGTGGTGGCTGGGGTTCTCACGGCAATCACAGCCCGGAAGAGCCCTGAGGCTCCCCCTCTTTCATCTCCTTTGCCCTCTGCCATGCTCCCTTGTGGCCACCATTCCTCCAGCTGGGGAGGGCTGGATGAGACTTGCCCAGCAATCAGTGCTGTTCTGTAACTAGCCAGGGGGGTCACTGTAGAATAACTGACCCCACCCTATGGTTCTGCTGGCCCTGCTGCACCAGCCCAAGGCCTGTGCCACACACAGCCCTGCACCAGTTCAACTCAAGGAGTGTTTTGTAACCTAATTAGTTAAACTCGTGTAAGATTGTGTGTAGAAAAGGGCTAAGGAGTGAGAGACTCCCCCAGGTCTCCTGCCTGTTGGTGCATATCACTAATCGCCAGCCCTGCTCCTGCACTGGTGCTGGGAGTGCGGGTGTGGGATGTCTATGACTAATCCCAGTGATAAGGGAGTGTACAGCAACACCCAGTGTGTGTCTCAGGGTCTGACTCTTTTCTCTTCCCCATTTCAGTGCCTGAACAAACTGAGAAGACGACCTTGGAAACAGGTATTTTGCTAAACCCCTAGTGAACGTGTGTCTGCGCTTTCACACTATAATGAAATGGGAAAATCACCACATGCGCTGTATGGACTTCAGTCACCTTCATGCTCATTTCCCCCCTGCCCTGGAGACAAACAATGCAGAGTTTGTAGCTCACATTTCAGTATCATCCAAAACAACAGAGGTTGAATTTAATGCATGTGGAATGATGGGCCTCAGGCTATGTCTACACTGCCCAATGGTTCAGATTACAGGGGTGCGAATAGGAATGTGCACCAAAGTGCTGCCCTGTAACAACCCTGTGTGGATTCCGTGGGTATGAACTAAAAGATTCTTAGTTAAAAATTTAACATAGTCCTAACTGAAGAGAGACGGGTGAGTGCACACCGGCAGCATCCGCACGTGAGAGTCCCAGCATAGCACTTCCGTGCATGCTGCAAATCACATCCCCGTAGGCTGTGTTGCCCAGGGTCATAAATCCAACACAGTGGTAACTTAACTGTTTCACGTCAGGTGGTGTCAGGAATAAATCAATGGGAACATAACACTTCCAGCTGATGAAAGCTTGATACAAATAAGTGTGGTCTTATCTAAAACAACTATTTATTAGATTTAAGCACAAACAAACATACACAATAGGTTTAGAACATCCCAAATAATTACCTACAATCTGAGATGGCATTGAGTAATTAACAGCAGGACCATGATGGCCAGTTACTTCCAAGCCGGAGAGTAGGAAAAAGTCTCTCAGTATAGCTCCAGAGAACCGCTCCAAAATACATTCTATTATCTACTCTTTTTATAACTAGCTTTTACAAACCACACAGCTCATAGTGACCCCTATTGGGTCATCACTTCTCCTCACTTCAATAAACTACTTATCACTAAAACATTCCTAACAATCTTAGCCATAAGAAGCTTCTGTATCAAAGACGCCCAAACTCAAGGTCTCCATCCACTTATTTTATTTCAGTCCCATAATGTGTTGACTCTTTCCTCCCCTCCTCCCTTTCTAATTAGCAGAAATCACAAGCCTGCAGCTAGTATTTGACCTTGCCTACAAAAGCCCTGCTTGTCCAAATTAACCCTTAACTATGTGGTGTTCTATTTTATTAATTCCTGGTGGCTGAATGCACACTCTGTGGCTGTGATTAGCTTACTCAAGTTCTGGGGTAACACACTGCTCAATTCCGGGGTAACAGCCAAACAATGGGGCTCTGTAGACAAAACGTTAGTCAGGGGCTGGGCAAACTTCCTCCATGCAGGTCTGTGGATTTATCTAGGGTTACCATACGTCTGTTTTTTCCCGGACATGTCCGGCTTTTCGGCAATCAAACCCCCATCCGGGGGGAATTGCCAAAAAGCCGAACATGTCCGGGAAAAATACCTTCCAGGCACTTCCCCTCCCGCGGCTGCTCTGCTCCTCCCCTCTCAGACTTCGGCTCTGTTTAAGAGCCAAGCTGTCCGAGCCAGCGCTACCGGCTTCAGGCAGCCCCCTTTGCCTCCGGACCCCGAGCCGCCGGCCGGGCACTTCTCCTCCCCGGCTCCAGTATGGGCTCGTTGAGGTGCATTCTGATGGGCCCCACCACCCACATTGTTCTTACAAGAGCTGGGGCAGAACCTGACCCCACATCTCTAGCAGTGGACAGTAAATCCACTGCCACACAGTGCTACGGAGCTGTTCCCAAGTTACGCTCCTGCCAACCACTGACCCTAGAGTTACAAACTTGTGCAAATCAGCAACACAAAGGGGTTGCCCAGCACAGAAATAAGAGGTCTGAGGCTGGGTGACAGGCTGCAGCAGTGCAGGCCTCTCTCTATGTGATACATGTTCTGGCAGTGCCATCAGTTCTGGGGGGTGCTGCAACTAGTGGAAATTTGTGGGCTCTGTTTAGGGCTGATCTGGGACCTTGTCTGTAGTTTATTAACAACAGTTTTGTCTGACATGTCCTGTCAGCTCTGAGACCCTTGTCGCATTGGGTCCATCTACACTACAGGAGGAAGTGAGCATCCCAGCGCGGGTAGCCAGACACATGCTAGGTGCCGGGGGTGGAGGGCTGCTCAGCGTAGCTACCCGAGTGTGTTCCCAGGGGGTCCGAGCGGGTTTGTACTTGAACAGCCAACCCAAGCTGCTGCACCTGCTACCCCCAGATACCCAGCTACTTTTAGCCCACTGGCTCAAGAAGAGCTAGCATGTCTCTGTCTGCCCAAACTGGGAAGCTCACTCCCAGCTGCAGAGTAGACGTACCCAGAGTTTGGAACAGCCCCATGTCACTCTGGTCAGAATAACCACGCTGAACCCACAATGGTCTCCTTCTCTTCTCTCCCCAGAGTTCCAGGAGCTGCGTGAGAAGCTTGGTAAGTTCATCCACCTCCCCCACTAGAGCCCCTGGGCAGAGGCTCCCAGCCACACATGGTGCTGAGCAAATCCAGAAGCACCGACACCACAGGGCAGGGCTGAGTGAACAATTTGGGCCAAAATCAGAGTCACATTAGAGTCACCCAGCCCCACGGCAGCACTGTGAGCTCTCTGCAGCAGACACAGAGTCACCTGCTCTCATGTCTGGATAGACAGACAGGTGTCACCTTGGCTTGGACAATCCAATGCAAATCCCATTGTTATGGTGCAGGAGAAGGGGGCCAGCCACTTTCTATAGATGACTGCGGCAGTGCAGGCTGTCCTTTCCCAGAACATGGAGATGAGCAAGAGACCAGATTCACGCTCACATTTCCATGCGTTGTTGCCAAGACCGGACCCCAGGTCTGAGCTCTAATCCTCTCCAGATCTGTCTATGCCCCGGTTACACCTGGAGTGTGTAGCTTTGTTGCTCCAAAAGGTTATTAGTAATTCTCTTTAGATGGTAGGGTTGAGAATGTCAGAGCTGCATAGATCCGGACATGCATGTTCCATCTAAGTGTAAGCGGGGGAATGGTCCCGCTATTGTGGGGAACTTTCCTGGCTTCTGCACTACCCCGGTGAAGTGGGCTAGCGAAAGGATCCGAGTCCTCGCTCCCACTTCCTTTACCCAGAGGCCTCCCTGCCCTCGAGGACTCCCCTTCCACTCTCCTGTCTGGCAGTGTCCTCGTAAACCCCGACAAGGCTGGGCCCAGGATTCCTGGGGGGCTCGACCCCCAACCCTGCTGTGGTCACCCAGGACAGGGGTTAGGGTGTC